TTACCTAACTGCATTAGAAAGCTAGCGAGCACATTGAGCTGCACTTGTGTTAGCAGCTTGTACATAAAAATCATTATTCTTCAATATAATATGGCCTTAATGCAGTGGTAAGAACGATGAGATAGAGAACATCAAAAATAAAAAGACATATTCTGGGCTTTGAGATTAATAATTTATATACAATTTACATGCTTTACAAATAAATATATATATTCTAGGCTCTTCATTCCTCAGCCATGCCAGCAGAGTAGGCCAAAGTGCATCTTGGCAGGGTATAGCAAGTATATAATCAAAAAGATGTTTTCGTGAAATACACATTCAAAAAGAATTAGTGAACCACACGTTCTTTCTATTCTTTAAATATCAAATAGTGCTAATATATTCATCGTCCTGTGATCCACAAAACAATTCTTTGCACTTGAGTCCATTTAAATTATGTAAAATCCAAAAGCCAGACGCAGCTGTAAGATAGAAGCATAAATCAAAAATTCAATTTCAGTGCGGAAAGCCTTGCCCAATACTGTTTAAAGCAGACCCAACAAAACAAAGGTTCACAAGTCATTTATTGATTTTATTATTTCAACAAAACTTTGTCAACTATTCTCGCAAACAAAACAGCAGCCGAACGTCCTGGCAGCCCCTGATGGCCTAAAGGACATTCATACAACATGTGTGGGAATTAGTTTTCACTTTTAATTTGATTTTGAAAATAGTTTCCTGAAGTCGATGAGGATTGGGAGAACGAACACTCAAGGGCTGTGAAAGAGATATGACTTGTGATTTTGTTGTAATTTCTTCTAGAGTGCCTTTAAAGGGAAGACCCTTAATCTGAAGTTCATTTCGTCTATATGAATCAGACTCTTTATTTAATTGTCGCTCATATATCACACTTTCCACATAAACACAATGAGGTTATATGCATTGTTGATATAACAGAAGAACAATTACGCACAATGAAAATATAATTAGAATAATTACTGAATTTCGCTCATTAAACTTGAACTTTTTACGACTGACACGCAAACGGGAACCCATGCAGGCATAAATAATAAAAAATATATAGCGAGGGAAAATTTCACACGAATATTCATAAATTAATCAAAAATATTGTTTACCAACTGTCCAGCTAGGTCCAGGAGGCGAGGTGAGGCGTTAGTTGAACTCTCCGCCCACACCCACACGCGACAATTGACCCTTTTGTTAATTAAATTTCAAACAATGGAAGGACATTACGTGCATGTCCTTCGACATGATATGCAAACAGGAGAATGATACTTGTGTTTGTCCAGCTAATAGGGAAAGTAACGCTCGCCCATGCAGATATATCGCCACAGATAGTGTCAAGGTAAATTTGAGCTGTGTCCATAACAGAAACAGAACAGCTACACAAATTGCCCATAAATTTTGTGCACTATTTTTGGTAAAAGGGTTGACGTTGACAGGCCGTATATATAGGCCGTATGTCCCACCAGCATGTCCTGCATATGATGTTTATCCAGTGGCTTCTATTAGCCCACATAAATTATTAACGCGCATTCTCGATGCGTTGTGCATGTAGTTTATTAGCACTTGAGACTAGCTTCCTTTTTTGAGAGTGGCTGGCATTGCGTGTTTTCTATCCTTGTGCTGGTGTCCTTTTGGTGTCCTTTGCATGTTCGGACTACTGGGAAAATTTCTCTGTCCTCTCTCTCTCTCTTTTTCACTTCGTCTGTGTTTTTGTTTGTCTATTTGTATTAATTTACATACGACACGCATTCTCGCACTTTTCAATGCTACCACTATTTGGATTGAACTTTATGATAGATGCGTGTAGATCCCCCATTATCAATTAGCAGACGAACTGCCTAGTTCTTATCTAACTTATATATACTATTGCACTTCACTTCAATATTTAACTAGCAAGTGATGAAAACTGAATGGAAATACATATAATAATAAAGCCCTTCAATTCGAATCGAAGTCGCAAGCAGTAAAAATTAAATTGAAATAGATAAATATGGCATATAAAGTTTTTAATGCCCCAACATCCCGTTTGAGATCATAAAAGTCACATTGAATTGTGAAATAATATTTTAAGATAATTTCTGGTGGCCAAATATTATCAACGCATTTGTGTGGTTGCTTTAATGTGGTTGGCAGTTGCTGGAGTCATAGCAGCAGAGAAACGAAATCAAATCAACGGCCAGAGCTGCGGAAAAAATAAAAACGAGCGCTGACGGCCCACATTAAGGAGCAAGGACATTGACCAAGTAACAGCAAAGGCACTTGAAGCTCTGGACATTTGCGGAGGCGCTCAGTCAATAATTCAGCTTATCACCGGCGGATATTGGAATGACAAACCCAGAGGACAACATATCCGGCGCCGCAAGCGCGCATCAATAAAAACACATTTGAATGACAACTACGCTCCCTGCCCAGCCCTCTCTCTGCTCCATCCAATTGAGAAGGTGTTCATGTTTATCAAAGGCAAATGGCTGGGCTAGCATGCTGGTGGATTGGGTTGGAGCCAGGGGTTGGTGTCCACTTTGGCAGCATCTCAAGCAACACTTTTCAAGTGAAACCTCGCGCACTTCAAGTCAAAAACTTTTGCCCCCCGCCACCTCCTGCAACTGTGAGATATTCCCTTTGAACTTTGAATTTGACTTTGGGTGAATCGCATCTTGCAGTTTGTCAACCCTCCAACGCTTTTCGACTTTATTCAAATGGTAAAACCAGTAAAAAAAAAGAAAAGGAAAACAAACTCACCCAAACTACCAAGGGCTGTCCTCCTCTGCTCCACTTCTATTTACTCTCGTTCAGTTCGATCTGTATTTGAGTTGTTTTTTCGGTTGTCCTGCGAACAAGAAGCATCCTTTAAAGTGTCGTGCTGCTTGTAAATATTTTGCCAGAGCAAACTTTCTTTTCTGACATGAATTGGAATATATTGAATTTATATATTTTTTTTTGGGTAAAAAAGTAGATGGATATATATATATATATACATAATATATTTGTATGCATATTTCCATTTATTTATATAAATGTTTTTTTAAGAAATTACTTTATTATTTTTCTGACTAGCTTAATGATATTTTATATAATATGTCAATTATTGGTATACAAAACTGCTTTATCTTGCTCATTGTTCTCATAAATTATTGAGCAATAATACGATGTCGACAACTTTTTGTTGCATTAATTTGCTGAAGACTATAAATATTTTAAAGATGTTTTTCATATGTCACATTGATTGGGTTAAGCGAGTTTTTCAATTCAGGTCACAGCTTGGTGCAAACTGGATTTGAAGATTTATTATTAGATGAACAAACTTTTGTAGTAGTTACTAAATATATTATTATTATGTATCGATGATTCATGTGATATCTTCAGCATTTTCTATGTGTATTAAAAAAACAAATTAGTATATTTTAAAGCATTTAAAGCACGAACAAATACATATTTTTTATTTTCTGTGCCATACGAAGTCTGTAACATCTTCTGGCTTTCAAAGCATCTTATGAGTCATCTCTTACATATTTATTGGCTTGGATCTGTTACGACTTAACTTGTTGGGCTTTATAGCCTAGCTTTATATAGCCATTGACATACAAGTCTTTAAAGATGACGCACTTAGCGGTAAATTGCATAGAGTAGAACACGAAATGCATATTAAAAATTGTTAAAATTTATATTTTATGTGGTTATTTGCTGTACAAATTGCTGGCAATAATAAGTATACCCTGTTGTCAGCTGCCTGTGCATCGGCGCGAATCAGTCAAAGGTCGTTAATTTTTAAAATGAGCATATAAATTTCTGAACAATCAAATAAAGCGCAATGGCTATATATTTCCTCTCCCTCTTGCACAAAAAATATGAACAGCAAATGGCGTAAAGCATTCGCAATTGCCCGCTTGTGAAAAAGTAATAAAATATTTAGCAAAGTGTTGAAGATGGCGTCTTTCTTTTTTGTTAGGGCAATCTGAACTGCCCCCGCAGTCAACCCTTGCCACCCTCTAGCAAGGATCAAGAAAAAGTTGGGAAAGAAAAAACTCATATGCATATTTCCCCAAACAATTTGCAACAAAGCTCTGCGACAGGGGTTGTCCGCATCTGGAGTTCCGTAATGTGTTAAAACTCTTAGATGCGTCGTGTGCGCCATTTTCATTCACGTTCCATAAATTTCGTGTCAAGTATTTATAAATCAAATATAACATCTGCGTCGCCCAACACTATTTTGGTTTTATATTTGCTTTGGCTCGCGAGTGCTGCCTGTTTACAAGTATTCCCCATTAATAATGCGCAATTTCTTTTGTTTCTGCACAACATGCCGAAGGTATTGAAAATTAAGAATTATTACATATTTCACAGCAATAATTCAAACCTGCTTTCGAAATGAAAATATGAGCAACGAATTCAAAATAAATTGTGCTTCAAAATTATTTTGCGTAACGAAATAACATTTTTGTTAAGTGTGCTTAAAAAACATCCTAAAAGTAGTGAAAGGTTTTGCATATAAAAGGTCCATAATCAGAATATTTAGAAAGGAACTTAATATTTGACAAATCATCTTTACGCCATTAGTTTGCTGAACATTAGTCATAGCTTTTAGCTTAATATATTTTTATATTAATATTAACTAACTTCGCTGTGCGTCTTTACTATAAAAATTGCAGTTGCCAACATGAAGTGTTAGTTCGCATTGTAAAAGACTTTTTTGTAAGTTCTCTAAGAAATACCTCAAATATTGCAGATCTTCAACTGAAGGCTTTCTGCAGTTACTTGGCAGTTCTTTTAGAGATAATATGTATATAAAGATGTATCTTTCAATATCTTTCAGCTTGCTTATTAATTTCGACTGAGTTCCTTCTATGCACTCTTTATGATCATAAAAGCCTCACAAGTTGTCATAAAAGTTTAAGTTAGTGGGGAATATTTTTCACCTATACTGAACTTTTGGTTTCGCGTTTGCATAGACGTTGCTTATAAAGTGCTATTAGTGCTAGTGTCTCTGCTATATATAGTGCAAATATGTTTGTTGCGCTTCAGTTGCCCAGTTAAAGTTAAAGATTTTACGTCATGTCACGTCTGCTTGTAAGTTCTGTTTGTCTCAAATATTTCAATTTACCTTAGTATTAGTATTTAACAGATACTCCTTATGTCGTTGGCCTTCTTGTACGGCAGCTCGGCGACAGTTGTCACTGACTTTTTGAATGATGTTCATCAATCTCTTAAGCTACTACAATTGAGCCTAGAGATACCTTTGAAACTGTACAATTCTGCTCTGGATAATTCCGATAAAAAACCCAAATTGGATCCCCTTAAGCGGGTGGTCACTGAAGTGAGCGACGGCAGCGAAGTGATTACGATCGTAAAAGCTCCACAATCACGTTTGGGCATTTACTATCCTGTCGCGGATTCAGTATTCGTTAATCACAATCAAAGAGCTCCAGTAAACGGCAACGGAGCGCCGGCTCCAAACTATAATCCTGCACCTACAATGGTGGCATCTAGCCCTGGTAAGGGGATACTGATGCAATTAGGTAATGGACTAGCCAAGGGAAACTCTAATCCTGGGAAGGCAACAGAACAAGCTCCAAACTTAGCTAAAGGCTCAGCTAGCCCGTTTCCAGGAGGCCCATCTAAAGGAGGGGCTCAGCATAACGCTGCTGGGTATTCACCTATAACTGGCTGGCTTAGGGGGTAGTGTAATAATTGATGGATTGACCACTGGACTGCCTGATGGATGTATGCTTATTACATTATACCTATATAATTAAAAATATTAAAAATATACGTATATAATTAGAAATTAAAAATATCGTTCAAATTCAATAATAATAAAATATTTGTTGAAATTATTTTATATAGAAAACATAGCATTTATGAAAAGTTTGAAAATATATATATATATTTAAAACATTTTTATATTTATACATTTTTTATAAAGCCGATCGCTCAAAGTAATTTTCCTTCAAATTATGTACGACTCGGATATTTTGGATACCTCCGCCCATTCGTACTTGGCTATGTACATTAAATAATAGAGACATATAACGCAGCCCAAGTGCAGTCGCACTCATGCATGTGTGTGTATATAGCCGTTCTACGCATGGTTCAGGGTATCCCCTAGTCGTTAACTCTCGACGAGAGAGCTGTTATTTGCTAGCATAATGCATAATATAGTTTCATATTTCATGCACTCATTTTTTATTAGATACTTAAATGGGAAATAAATTCCAGACTTATTTAAAATACTTTAGTTTTACGCGACAAAGAAATAGAATAAATAAGTTTCTCGACGATTTTAAAATGTACTCATGGTACGTTTTCGTAACTCACTCTAAATGACTCTGAACCTGTAACCCCATGACGAACTCCATTCGAAGTATATAAGTAAAATATTGGAAAATAATTTGCATAATTTCCTATTTAAATTCTAATTGCAAAACAATCGTAAAACCTCAGGCTTTATATAGAACTGTTTGGCCCAACTCAAGCAACAGTTGTTTAAAGATACAAGCAGCAATGACACGACTATTGGTAAGTAATTGTTAGTGGAATAAACAGTTTTGTGAATTATATACTTATATGTGTGCTTTTTTTCGATTGTGAACAGATTCTTATTCTATCGCTGACTCTGCTCATTAGCAGCGCCTGCGCTAATATTCAATTTTGGCTCCGGCTCTTCGGTCTCGCTCCACAAAACCAGCCTCCGAACACAGCAACCAGTACAAATTGCCTGGGCTATCCCTATCCGTGCAACGAAGCTCTGTTCGGTGGGAGCTCCTAGACTGGAGCCGGCTTCAGATATGTTCGCAGCAAGCATTTGGTGCTATAATATATATATATATATATATCTTCTATGCAAAGCTTAAATTAAAGCAACTTTCATGGCTTTTTTAACTGGAATATAATATTTTTCATGGCAATTTGCGCATTTCTTTTATTAATTTTCCCAATGCAACATAATAAGCCTTTATATTTTGAGGCAATTCAGTTTTAAAATATTTTGAATTTATGTAAATTTCTTAGCTTGAATTTTAATATTTGGTGGCAGTACAGCCATAGAGCGGATTATGGTGACAGTTGCGCTAAATGGGCAATGGGATAGACTATATACTATATGCAATTTTAAACAACGAAATAGGTCGCCATTGACCCTGCCAGAATCCTTCTGGGCTCCCGTGTTGAGCCGCATTGATAAAACCCATCATATTCATTATGAGCCAACAACAATGAGACTTAACTGGGCAGTTGGGCTTCGTTTGGCATACCTAATGATGGTTTTTTGGAAACCCTTTATACAGCTCCAGCTGCCTCCTTACCTCATTTTCTGCTGTTTCAGCTGCTGATAAGATGACACAAAATGTAAAAATTGACACATAAAATGTAAGTTGGTTGCCGGGCGCCATTTTATTTTGCCACAAACCGCGCCAGCACGCGCTAGTCACCCGCACATCCTTTCCTGTCCTGCCCTGCGAATAGCTGCCCCACCTCACTCTCCTGCCTCCAACTCTCTTTTCTCACACTTACTCTCGCTTTGTTCACCCACTTCGTTAGCTATGTAAATGACTTTGTTTGTTTTCCATTGTTGTCCTCTTTACCAAGAGTATTGCCGGTCTAAGACATAATTCTGCCGACAAGCTGGCAACGCTGTTATCGCACACAGACAGACACACACACACACATACGACTCACGCATGTTGAGTGTAGGCACAGATTTTTAACCCTTTTTGGTGGAAACGCCACCCCAAAAGTGGAAAAGACCTCGCTGTTCCTTATTTACTTTCTATATACACAAAGAGGGGAAATTTTCACGCACATCACGCATGAAAGTCGCGTTACATAAGCTTCTCTGACTATATATACGATATATATACACAACGGCTGTGTGTGTGTGCGCTGTATTTCGCTTTCGGTCTTTGCCTTTTAGTTGGTTGTCTCTGAAGATTTCGCGTCACAGATATCTCTTATGAAAAATTGTTTGAATTTTTTTTTATAACAAACAAATTGCGCGTCATCTGCCTCATCCATATGCAGGACCCGCCGAAATTCCTTGCCTGGTTCGATAAGTTTAATTAATGCCCCAGTTATTTGTTATGCCCAGCATTTAGGGTCTATGTAAATAATATGCGCTAATGATATCAATCAATTTGCTTCCAAATTTTTTATAAATAGACTAGAATGGAATTGGGTTGAATAGGGAGTACACCTAAAAGGATTCTTAATTAAGTTGTCGATGTAGTACTCGAACAAAAATGGGCCTAGAGAAGACCTTGTGGAACTTAAGAGGCAGAACAAATTTGAAAAGTCGCTAAGTATGACTAAGCGCTGTGTGTAATCTAGTAAAAAATAAATGAGATAAAGGCTACACGTACTTATTATAAAAGTCCAAGACTTCTCCATATTTCCCTATATCTAGACTAGTTATGTTATGTCGATTCTTATCTCTTTCTCTCTCTCCCTCTCTGTCAGTAATTAACGATTTTCTGGCATTATTCTTTTGTATATCCACGTCTGGAATTCGGCCTACCCAATCCCATTAATTCTCTAAGCGAAATGTAGAAATTTAAAAGAAATTATACCCCAAGGACAATGTCTCTTGTCTATGCTCCGCACTGGCTGCTTCTGCTCCTGCTCATGGTGCCATTCCCTTTGCTGCTCCTGCTGCTGCTCGTAGAAATTTTCTTGTATTTTTCTATATTCCGTTTTGATTAACATTCGTCGCCGGCGTCTCCAGCGACGACCATGTTTTTAATTACTTTTGGGGGTAGTTTGGAAATTTCGTTTCACTTGCCAGACATTGTCAAAAAGAAAGAGAAAGCTCAACTAACTGAACTTTAAGCAAAGAAATTCACTTGAGACAAAAATAAAAATAAATATATTAAATATATATATATACATATATAGGTAGATTTTTTGAGGATATGTTTACTTTATAATTCTATATGCTAACACACCTTTGAACACTTGACCACAGCGTTGCTGCGCCCTGAGGCTTGCTTAGTTGTAATTCAATTACATTTTTGCTATTTATTTGTGTTGTGTAATCGAGAGAGATATAATAACAAAATCCTATTGATATTTATGTGCGTGTGTGTGGTCTATGCCCCAAGGCTCGCTTTGGCGCGGATGTAACCACTTGACCATGACACTTCAATATATTTTTTTCCTATACCTTCTACGCAGTGAATGTGGTTAAGAGGGTATGTTGTACTTCAACATGTGTTGAACAGGGTGAAGAAAGAAGCGCAAGCACAAAGATATGTTTCCTTATTAACACATCTTTGTTATATATAATATATACATATATATTGCTTTGCTCTCGGCGAATATGGAATGGTACATGGTACAAATATCGAAACTCTTGTGAATTATCCGAACAGTTTTGATTTTCATTTATGGAATATATTTTAGTGAATATCTTTACCTACGCACATTTGTATATCTATCTCGATGTGTTTATATACCTATTTATTCATAAATTTGTTTATTTTCAGTTAGAGAGCATTTCCTCGTCCGTCACAATTAGCTTCTCGCATATTTTTGTTGACTGACCACATGAAACCGGAAATAACATAATTGACCTCAGGGAACAGACAAACAAAAAAAAAGGTATCATTGCAAATCGCATCAAGTGACCAAAGCAAAGCGGACCTTAAGTGATTTGTATCTTTGCATCTGTTGCGCAGGGCAACTCGGGCAATGAGGGTCGGGTCGGTCGGTTCAGGTCTAGCCGCTGGTCAGTGGCTACCCCTACCCTCAACTGAGTTGGGCTCTGCTCAGCTTAGTCGAGTTTCCCCTGTTTGTCTGTTTGTGTGTGCTGGTCAGTTGGGTCAGTTGGCCGACGCGTGTCGCGTGTGTGTAAACAAATCAATTACTGACGCTAAATGCATTTCATTTGTGCGCACTCGAAACTTGAATTTGAATTTTAAATTAGCCGCCCGTCGGGGTTTTTATGGTCAGCTTTGTTCACACCTCTTGCCTGACTGCCTTTCGGTCTATCCGCTAGGTGGTCTTCTACTGTCTGTCCGAAGGGGTCAATGTGTTTAACGGCTACTCAAGTGGCCTTTAAATAGCTTAATGGTCAATGACCAATGCGGGGCTTAACAACATAATTGACGCCTTTGTGTGACATGCGGTAAATCAAAGGGGAAGTAGGAACAGCGATGCGATAATAATTGTATGTGAACTATGGGAATTATAGAAAACTAAGATAAAAGTAAGAAAAAGTACTGAACTATGTAGCATAAAATTGTAATTAAGCGAATATTAAATCTGAAATATGTAGCTATAAAGTATGCTCTTCGGTTGGAGACTTACCAATAGTATCTCCTCACGGTAAATTTAATCATAACTTGAGCTAATTATTAGGCTAATTAACATTCCCTTCATATATCCATTATTTTAACCATCTTTTATGTTTTTACATTAGCCGCGTTCGAAGGCTCTTCTCCATAAGTGTTTCAGATGCATTGCATATGCATATCCTGTTTGCATATACTTTCACATTTGCATGACACCTACCTCCATACAGCACAGTCTAAATTGCTCTTGAATGCAGCCTCGATTTGAGGCCTCAAGTGCGAAATAATACTTTGCATACGGCGCTCGTCCTGCCTCTGTGTGGATTGCATCCTCATCGGGCGCCTGGCGAATGCCTTAAATAGTCCTTTATTACAGTCAACTGCGAGTCAAGCGAAGTGCAGCAGCTCCTGCAGCAGCAGCAGCCGTAGTCACTGCCGCAGCCTCCTGACGTGTTTCTGCATGTGCATAAAAAGGACACGCCCCCAACCCCTTGCGACTGCAGCTTGCACATGCAGTGCAACCGGTTGCATTATCCTTTAGAATTTGAATGCGCTTTGTGCTTTATTTTGCACTTGAATACCCAGGAGCTGGGGCAGGCGCAACAGGATACGGATGCGCTGGTTGCACATGCTCTAAGGTGGCATTCAGGGAGGAAGGCAGCTGGGCGAGAGGCTTTTGTTCGGCTTTGTACATCACACGTCGCACCTTTTGCAGTTTTCACACTTGGAGGCGGCGGCTCAACAGGTGGCCTTTTGGCAGGCTGGGCGCTTTACTCTCGAGTGATTAGGCAGCCAAGGGGCGCAGGATAAAAAGACATGCCTCAAAGTGTTTCAAATGGTTTAATAAGTTAACAATGCGGTAATAAATAGTGGGGTAGGTGTACAGGAATGAATGTTAATAAATATTTAGAGAGGGATATGACAAATATGATATATGATAGGAGGAATTGGTTGTTGGATGGAATGGAAGGTGGAAGGGGATAAGCATTCTCTGACATGTTCTCCAGGGAGTTGGAGGTAGGAAGGAGGTGCTGGAATAAATATGCCATGCTTAATATCAACGGACAGCAATCAACTAATCATCTTTTCGGCTAAGCTGCGGACAACATTCTCATCATAGTCCTCAATCTCATCCTCTGCATCATCTATGTCCACATCGTTGGGTCTCACCGGATAGCCCTGCTCGGGTGGCACGATTTTCACGCCGTGATCGCCAAAGAGCAGGCAATCAAAGTTGCTAAAAAGATTACAAATAAATTAAATTAATTGAGCTATTGGTTTCAACTAGCATATCTTACCGCTCAAAGAGCTCGAAGCCCTGAAACTCCCCGGACATGTACATGCAGACATGCATGTTGCGCCCAACGAACCAAATATCGTGGAACTGAATGCAGGCGCGCGCAAAGTTGAAGCGAGGTGGCCTGAAGCAAAAGGGCGGTGGATTCTGCCCGGAGACCTTGCGGCGGAACCAAATGTTATTGTTCACGCGCATGCGCAGCTCAAAGGAAAACTCATCCGGCCGATAGGCGACCTCTGTGCAGCTGTTCATGCCAATCACCGAGAGAAAACCTATCAAAAGGTGAAAACAATAGTTCACGAGTATTTGGTATGCAGCTGGAGCTACCTACCTGCACAGCATTTGCAGAGACCCGTGTCGCAGTTACAGGGTATACGACTAACCAGGTTGTTGAGTGTTAAATTTGTGATGCCTAATTGCCGCGACTCTTCCTCGTGGGCCAACTGATTGAGTCGATGCGTCAATATGCCCAACTGCAAGGCCGCATCATAGGCTAAATCCTCAGCAGGTGGCTGCAGCGGCACTGTGAGTGTATTATGAATGATATCGAATGGTTATGAGTGGATGAATGTACGAAATTATGAGTGTGATGGAATTTGTACAGCTGACAAGAAATAGAATACATACAAGTAGCAGACTGACCAAACATTCTTTTAAGAATGAATGAGTCAGTCGAACCATCAAAGCCCTTATATTATATATAGAGAGATAAAGCAATAAACTAATTGTAAAACATATATACATATCTTCGAATACGATCATATATATTCCATCTGATGAGCCCTTGTTCCACATGCTCTACGCAATAGAGAATAGAGTCTTCTTATTCGACTCTATTGGGATTAGTAGCTCAAGTTCTCTGACATAGTAAACAAACCAACACGGAACAACAAAGTTGTATTTTTCTAATATGAAAACATAAAAATATAAATTTATATGCTTAATCATCTTAGATATACTTCCGCGACTTAAACAGTTCCGCCTCATAGACGCTGACGTAGCTGGTCACACAATATTCAGCGCCTAACAGTTTCAACTATTAACCTTGACTGCCAACTAACCAAAGCCGAAGAGACTATTGCGACTACTTTTTATGTCAATGAGAGCTACCGCAGCGTATTGAAGCGTGGTCAAGATCATGGACAAGAGAGGAGACCGAGTGAGTCTCTCTCGCTGAGAGCAACCAAACGAAAAAAAAAACTGGTAATGCTCTCCGCAAGCTCGCTTGCTTTGCTACCTAATATTTACAGATCTATTGAGGTTTTCGATTCTAGAATGCCTGAAAAAGCATGTCAAAATCATGAATTGAAAGAAGAGTTATCTGCTAATTAGTTGAAACCAGCCGAAAAACGACCTTCGAGTGCGTCGAGAACGTGTACGGTCGATTAATATTGCTCTGTGAATGTCGTCTATATATATACCTACAGAGTTTTGGTGCGTCGTTCGCTATTTTTTAACGACTCGTCTCTAACTCGGCTGTAAATGCAGTTACTGGTCAATTGACATTGGCTTAGACGTCACGTCTCGCACTGTAACTTGTTATGGCCCTTAGAGCTTCACTTGACTGTAACATTGTATAATATTTAATTGGCAATGTGAGCTGTTTTATATGCTGCGTTCGCATGCCGCGCTCTGATCTTAGATTGAATTGAACGCATGCTGAAGTAATAGAATTGATGCATTGTCGATTTTGGTCAAGGTAATTTGGGTATTTCAAGGTTAGAGATGTTGGCAAATGACTTTATAATAAACCTATAAACTGGGTATGCATCTTCAAATGGACAGAGAGAAACTGGAGCAAGTGGTACACTGCATCGATTAATTGTGCTGGGTTATCTAGCTTAGCCTAAATCAATTTACTAGTTAATAAATATTTTAGAAATATACTATTTTAGTTTAGATTAGGTAGTGAAAAACTTTAATACATTTTGAAAGCTCATAAAATATTATTATTAATCTATTTGACATGTTTTATCTATAAAATAGCATTTAAGCTTTATTGATCTATATTTGTCTTTTTTCATAAGGCAGAAAGAAACTTGAGGTCAAATGAAGAAAATTTCCTTTCAGTTACCTTTCCTTGCAAAAGAAGCAATAGAACCAAGGTATGCTATGTCCTCTTCTGTATCTGAATTGGGATGAACTTGATAAGCTATGAAAATCAATTTTAAGAATAAATTTCTTTATTCATCTATTTCTTGCGAAGCAAAAGCAAAAGAATAATATGTTAAGCTATATAATTAATTGTATATTTATGCACTTAACAAATGTGTAGTTAATTGAAAAAATAAAACAAAATCAAATCGAGAATTTTTTACATATTTTATTATACAATTAGCGGAATGCCTCATAGAAGTTATCACATAGGTACGCTAGCCAGGTACAAATTAATATTTAAAATCTAACTTGACGATCCCAATTAGCCGATCACATTTGAACTCAAATCGCAGTCTTATTTACAACTATAGTTATATATATACATGATATTTACAAAAATTCGTTAGGATTGTGCTTGCAATGCCCGAGGAACTTTCATGTGAGCCACACGTGTACGAAGCGATAAAAGATGGGCATTGCAAACGGATTGATAAAGTTAACAACCAGATAATAGAAATACGACATAAAATAAGAGTTCTTTGTACTACCGGTATCCGATTTTGATACAGCCAACAGCGAGGCGACGCACAACAGGTAGAAGAAGAGCCGCGAGTGAGAACTGGCTGCGGGCATATTGAAGCTTTATTGTATTGAAGAGGAATTCTTGAAGGTTGTTGTGACTGCTGCTCGTATAGTTGTTGTTGTTGTTTTTCTTGATTTTGCGCGCTTTGTTTGTATATCGAGTTGTTTGTTCAGTTTTTAGACATAAATATATATATATCTATATATATATGAATATAAAACTCCACTTTTTGCACGCAACTTTCGCTTTCACAATTACAAATTCACCAAGTCGCCATGTAGTCTCGCTGTGCGTGAGTCTTGAAGCGCTGTTTAATTCACTTTTAGTTTCTACTATAAATACTTGGAGCTAGTGTCTAACTCCAGCTCCGAACGTGCTAATGGCTAAAATACAACTGGCCAAGAAAACGGTAGCGCATGCGCATGCTAAGTGCCAAAGCAGCACCAGCAACAGCCGTCGCTGAGCCACAGTCAAAGTCAGTGGCTGAAGCTGAGGGGGACGGTGGCTCTGGAGGGGCGAGTCGCCTCTTTGGATTGACAGTTTAATGTGTGTCTGAATTGTTTTTGTTTTCGTTTTTATTTTGTTGGTATTTTTCTTAAGCGGGCGCTCTCTCAAAACCAGTATTTTTCGTTGCTTTTGATTTTGATTTTTGGATTCAGCTTTTAAACTGAGCGCCCCTCGTTTAGGCATGAGTCTCGGTCTCGGTCTGGGTCTGGGTCTGGGTCTTGGTCTCTGTTATAATTTCTCTCACTCGCTCGGACTCTCACTTTTCACTTGCGTAGCTTTATAATATAGATATATTTGTGTATACTTTTAATTAACTTGTCGCCTTAAATGGTGTGCCACCTTGCGGCATCTTTAGAGTGTCAGCGGACTCTTGAGCCAGCCATTGATCAACAATCGCTCAATTGTGCTTTTGTTTATACGGCATCGAATACCGTTAACAGTTTTCTGCGTTTCACAGTTAAGCAATTTGTTTATTTACTTTTGGAATTCTATTTGAAGTTTTTTTTGCATTAATCTCAACTGGTTCTGCGACTCTATAAACTAACTAAACCTATGTGCGTTGAAAGTTGTTTTAACTGCTCGCAGGAGAAATTCAAGTGAGATGTGTATAAGTGTATAATACTGTTTTAAATTGATGATAATTATTGTACTTTATTGAAATGAGAGCAATTTCTATGCCTGAGGTAGACCTGATTACAACTCTGTTCTACATTCGGTCAAAAATCTGCCGAGTCATTGACTTAGTGTGTAAATATTGATTGGACTGCGAAACAGGTTTGCTGAATGATTTGCCAAATAGGAAGGAATAATTAAGATTATTCTCTTGACAATAGAGCTCAACGGCTTGTTTATGTGTCAACAATCTCATAAATATATTCAGATAAATTGCCGAGATGGGCATACCCGTTGCTAAAGTTACCCAGTAAAGTAAATTAGTAAAGAGCTGTAAATTCAAATACAAAATGAACTCGCACCTATAAAAATTAATTATCCTTTGAATTTATCACAATTTCTAATAATAATATTTAGAACTGTTAGGATTAGTTTAAAATTGTCTGCATGATATCAAAGAGTCAAGAGTTAGACTTGAATGAATAATTAATAATTAATTAAGAATTAATAACTAAGCTAATTTCTATATTTCAAAATTTCAATCTAACTGATTAATTAATTAAGAATTAAAAACTAAGCTAATTTATATATTTCAAAATTTCAATCTATATTGAATTGTATAATACTTATATGCAGAATAGTGACATCTAGGCGTAATAAAATCCAATTCATCGCGGAATAACAGTATTCAACAGTTATGCATATATTATTAGCATATACACCTGGTTGCTAGGTGTCATTCATTATGCAATCTTTGATTCGTTGCTATAACTTGCAAACAGTTTTTTTAGTTTCTGTTTTTATATTTATATATTTTGCATTGGCTTGTCGATTTGCTGACATTGACTTTGTGGTTCGTTTGCAAACGGAATGTTAAGTTTTTTATTTGTCTTTGACTTTGACTAGCGGAAATCCATAATAAAATTAACTTAAGCTCACTTAAAGTTATTTTTAAATATCTAAATAAACGATTTTGATTTAAATCGCTCGGAATATTTAGATTGGCCAGCTGACCGACTCGCAGCTCAGATTGCGATTGTATTGCAGGCGCCATCTATTGGCCTTTTAACTAGCTGTTGTTGTTGTACTATATCATTATCCAATTGTTGTTGTTGTTGTTTTTTCTATTGCTTCGATTGATTTGTGATGCCAAACTGCTGAACAATTCCGTACTCTCGTCTCTCTCGATGTGTATCTAGCAGTGTAACAGCAGCTTCCAACATGACATTAGAAATTATTTTTGGCTGCTGTTGGTTGTTGCTTGTTGTTGCTGTTGCTGTTGTTGTTGTTGTTGCGAAAACTTGCACGTAAATCATGTGAAATCAATTTCTCTTGCACAATTTTCCACTTTTGGCAAATATGACGAAAAAACCAAAGCCCAGAGACCCGAGCGAAAAGTCGTGAGTAAACATTTGCTTAGACCGATCCTCGACAGGCTCTCAACATGGTTGCTGTTGCTGCTGCTGTTGTTGTTGCTGATGTTGATGTTGCTGTTGTTGGTAGCATCTTGCGGTCTAATAATAGCATGTTAACTCATAACATGCTATCAATCACTCCAAAATTTGTATCTGCGGTGGGTTCGAACTCGTTGTGGGTAGCCGGCTGACCATAATTCGCATGTGAAAATTGGAAAATTGTCTAAGTTGTTATTGTTGCAGTTGTTGTTGCTTCGATGCTTGCTGCTGGTCAGCTTGGATGGAGTTATCGTTGCATGCATGCTCCAAAAATAATCGGCATATGTGTGTGTTTGGTTGTGTGCGATTTGGGTTCATGATTTATGGGCTTTCCATGGCGCCAGTTGTCTGAGTGGATCAAATTTTCTATCATTATTATGCATGTGAGGCAGATCAATGAACGTAAACTTAGAAAGTTTGGCAATTACTTAGGATAAGCCAACAGCTTATGCTATACATAGAGTAAGACCTGCGTATGATGCACATCAATTTACTTTGAGTCTTAAACTACATTATTCAGCTGGTAATTAACTAAGTTAACGTTAATAGCATGTTAATGAACTGATAATATTAACTATGGCTTTCATGTTCAAAAAGCTTCACAAAGAGAAATCTCACAGCAGCTGTTAGTTGCAGCACACTTTCATAACCACTTTGGCATAGAACAAGATGCCTAGCTGATTGATGATTGTGTAAATAATTCAAAAATATTCTTAGATAATAAATGCAAATTTACATAAGAATTGTCAGAAGTTAAAACTCATAGAATTAAATCCTCTTAACTCTTCTCATTAGATGTATAGTCGTCAATGATCACTTAAGTGTATTAGAAATAATATATGCTCATTGACAAAGCATATACCTTTAGCATGCCCATTATTTAATCCCGGAATCTCTATGCGCTTCTCATTAAAACTTAAAGTTAACAAAGTTCTCTCTTAATTCTCTAGGTGCTAGAAATAGAACCCTTTCTTCTGTTTTTTGCTCCTGTTTTCTGCCTCTCGGTTGCCCACTCAGCTTTCCCTCAGACCGAAACAAAGCAAATCGAAAAAGTATTAATTCAAAGAACCCTTTTTCGAGAGCGAGAGCGAAAGAGAGAGAGAGAGAGAGAGAGGGAAGTGTTCTTTACTTTGGGGGAAATGCATTTGTTTTTATTCTATTTTCATGCACTTGGCAGCGCGTTGTCTTTTCCTTTTTCCGTGCTTGAGCGTTTTCTTTTGCCTTTTCCCTTTTTATGTGCCTTTAAGTATGCAACGAGTAGACTATAGAACATTTTTATACAATTTTGTTGTTCATTTGTTTTATCGTAGCTCGTAGCCTCAAATGAAATGCCAAAATGTGAAATGTAAAATGTGAAATGTGAAAATGTGAAATGTAAAATACAAAATGAAAAGAAAACATAAATCTTTTTGTCTGCCAAACATTTCCAGAGGCGGGCGGTGGGCGTTAAGAGCTGGTAAAGGGAGCGGCTGGTGCTGCTGCCAGCATTGTGAGTGGCTTTTTTCATGGTATTTTTCCACACACCTCACGTACGGCTCTTCTGCCCCTGCTCTGTCCACTCCCATCTGCAGGTGGTAATGCAAGATGCCCTGTGTTAGGGGAATCTCAGTGCATACAGAATACTGTTTGCTTGCTTTCCATGGAGCAGATTTTCCATATTTTTCGGCATTGCTTTGTTGTGTTAATTAAGCAAAAATGCTGTTATTACAAACATAAGAACCAAACAGGGCCTCTCCACTGGGATATATACTACAATAAATGAGTCGAGTTTCCGTTTTCATTTTGCCATTTTTTCGTGTGCAATTCCCTGGTCTTATTTTAAAACAGGTTTGAGGTGAGGTGACGTGAAGAAACCGAGTTAGCAAATAATGAATTTAACTTTTCTTTTACTCTCTACACCTACATGGAACTTGGGAGTTTTATTCTTTTATTAAAGCATGAAAACAATGTGTCTAGAGCGCGTGATACACAGAAAAATTTAATATTTAGTTTTATGTTTAGTTTTTCTGTTAAATAATTTGTCATGTATCTCAACTATATTTTTCTTAATTTTTTATAAATAATATGAACTAGTTTTTAAGTATCTTTTTGTTTTTTGTCAGACTAATTTTTGCATATCTTATTTAGACTTCACTCTTCCCGCTCACAGCTGTGCTTCTAAAGGGAATCGTATCAAACGTTTGTGTTATAATTAACCCTTTATGCAGCAGCAACATGCCTCAAGAGTGCAGCAGCCGACTCCTCTCCGAAATACTTGCCCCAAAGTTCAAGCACTTCAGCGCATATATTCATTCCCCCAGCTGCAGCTAACAATTAGTTTCTTCTTTTTTGGTTGGCCGAAAAACAAATGAAAGAATTGCAACATGCAACATGCCACATGCCACATATTCTCCAAGGACACTTGACTTTCAGCTACGACTTGCTTTTGGGCTTGCAAAAAGAAAGACGCCAAGGGAGAGGGAGAGGAAAGCAAGGGAGCTGCAGTTGGCGCTCTTTTTGGCTGTGTTGACAGCTTTCTTGTTGCACTTTTGTGAGGGGCTTCGAGAGGGTGTTG